ATCTGTTGTCCTATCAATTCGTGGAAATGGTATTGTTTTGTTATGACCTGTACTTACGCTTTGTATAGGAGAGAAGCTTCCACTACTGATCATTGTCAAGGGTACACCTGGAGGTGATATCGAGCGCTTCGAAGTGCCAACCTACCTACCTGACCCTGTGTATGCCGTGCAAGAAAAAGCGTATATGGATCAACGCGTGTGGTCCATGTACCTTCGCGAAGTACTCAAGCCTGCGTTGGACTCCCCTTCTGTGTTGCTGGCCGACAACCTGAAGTGCCACGTCTCGAAGACAAGCTACAAGATTATGTTATGAGCAAGGAGCTGTATTGTGGGGCTTTTCGGCAGCCTTTGCCCGCCAACACTACAAGCGTATTGCAACCCCTTGACGTCGCGATCATGGGGCCTTTCAAGCAAATGTGCCGCACCGAGTGGATCAAGGAAGACAAGGACGTCACAGCTCAGGAGAAGCGAATGGCCATGATTCTCCGTACGATAAAGGTTTGGGACGCAATGAAGGACGACACGATCTACAATTCTTTCGAAAAGGCACTTGGCATTACTGAAATTAACTGTAAGTGAAATATTTCATAAATTTCGGGTCATATTTTTAACTTTTCTTTAACCTTTTCATAATTATATACAAAAATAAGTACAATCTATACAAATAAAAAAGTTTCGAACCTGCTCAGATGGCCCCATGCTTCTCCTTCACCCCTCACACTCTGAAGTGCTACAATGCCCAGGTCATCCAGCATTTCGCCAGCTTACCCTGGGTCCCACGATTATTTCGTGGAGGTATCCTAGATATGAAATATTAACGCAAAATAAGCCTACCGGTCATGTCAATTGGTCCCAAGTTCAATCCCCGTCAGTGCAAACTGTCTGTGGCTAAAATTCAACCAATGACAAACTCGTCCACTTCCTTGAAGTTCAGATTTTTATTAACGTGGCCGACCATTGATGTGCCGATTGTTCCTAGATCGACCAACATGTTTCTACCAATAGCATTGCCTTTCATATCTAATTGGACAAAACAAAACCACTTGTCAAATAGAACTTGTGAAATATGATGGAGGGAAAAAGTATAGTGTTTGAAAGGTTGATGATTTTGAATTGAAATGCCACCACGAACACTGTACACGCACGACACCATGAGTATTGTCGTCCAAGAAGGGCTAGCCTAAACGCACACAGTGTCCACAGCAGCGAAAGCGTATGACATCCCTCCGTGTACGCTTCGTAAGCATGTGGCTGATACAATCAACGGCGTAAACAACGACACATTGGTGACGATGGGACGCGTGCCACACCTGCCAAGGCAATGTGAAGACGATCTGGTCGCGTGGATTCTTGCCATGGAACGTGATGGCCATCGAATTGGATGTCATCATATTGTACAAAAGGCCACCAAAATATCCGAGGCTGTCCATAACGTACCACGTGCGACGAAACTATCCACCGGGTGGTACAAACGGTTCCTCGACCGCCATCGAGAACTACGGGTCTCAAAGGCACAAGTGCTAAGCAAACCACGGAACGGTGTTGACCAACCCGCCGTCAAGGAGTTCTTTCGAGAGTTGTCCAAGTCCATCGCGCTCGTAAACATGGACCCTGGGAGAATTTTCAACATTGACGAAACAAGCTTCGCGCCATACATCAAAGAAAGTTATCATACATCGCACGACAAAACACGTGTTTGCAGAGGAATCATCTTCGTCCGCGCATGTCACCATTGTCGCATGTGTTGCCGCGGACAGAACCAAGAAACCACCATTGTTTGTGCTCCCTGGTGACCGAGTCTACGGAGGTGTGCGACAGCCTCAGTGTCCCTATCACATCTTCGGAAAAGGCTGTACAAACTCTTTCCTTTACCGGAAATGACTGGCGATGCTCAACTCAAGTATCCCGAACTCAACGCCCCATTTTGTTATTTTTGACGGATGCTCGTCGCATTACTTGGAGTACGTCTACGCAGAGGCAGCGTTGTTTAATATTTTGCTGCAATTCCTACGCGTAATGCTACCCATCTGTTCCAGCCGTTGGATGTTACAGTCTTCAGGTCCTTCAAGCAGGTCATCCGAAAGGTGATTGAGGATACCATGTGGACTGACGTGTCCTCTTGTATCAGCAAGCAGCGCGCCATCCAAAACGCTTGTCGAGTCTGGATCAATCGACGAACCAATCAGCGATTTCAAACGGCATTGTGTGCACCGGACTCTGCCCCCCATCGTTGGACAAGATGTTATACCGCCTGTCTCTTTTCAAGCCGTCTGAAATTGCCGATAATGGGGTCAATGAGACGTGGCAGAAAAGGGTTGATAGTGTTCGTGATTATGTGCTACTTCTCCCGTCAACAAAGAAGCGAAAAAGCGCGACAAGAAAGACGTTGACCGTGAGCGGGAAGTTTATCACGGCAGATTACCACGCCTTACTGCAAACTCAACCTACAGCAAACCCCAAGCGCAAGAAGAGGGCTACTCGCCAAGCCGAAAATAGTGTGGAAGATTGTGTGATTTAGATCTATAAATGAATAATTTCATTGATTTTGATTAACTGTGGTTAACATTGGTAAATTAAAGTCAATAGAGGCTAATGAAAGTCTTATTAATTATTAGTTAGTTGCCGGCTGATTCAGACTTCCCTCAGGCATCGTGTCCATCTCAAAGACTAATCTTCACCGGTTAACCATTGTTCTGCCCCCACCTACTTCCGTTGTAGAGAAGTTTTACAGTAACAGGGTATGAAACGAACGCAGGCACACTTGGTGGTGACGAACATACGCCACAGGCACCCGCATTGGGCACCAGGAGGGAAATTGCTGAATGAGAGAGATCAAGTCTGGGTGTATGTACTTAAATTTTGTCAGTCACTTTGATAGTCTAACGATTAAGTTGTCGTACTCGAGTTGGTGTAATGAAGTCACGTAATGATTGTGACTCTTGTCAAACGTTCTATTTTGTCGCTTCCTGCTCGAGCGATCATGTAGTCGTACTCTAGTGAGCGTAAATCTTGTGAATGAATTTGAGTAGTGAGATTATAACTTATTGTGCTTTTCATATATTCTGGCTAGTCAAGGCCTAAATCTGTGGTTTAAAAGAATTTCGTCGTTGAATTATTCCTGTCCGGCCATTATATTTCGGTTGATGAATTCATAATTTTACGGATTGCGATGTTTAAGCAACTGCATACGCAACGATGATTGACCAAGTAATTGGTGGCGTGCCAGAGTTTAAGCTTAATCACCTTGTTTGCCGATTTGAATTAGGCAAACAAGTTGTTTTACCATGATCAGCATTGACATGCGCTGGAGATGCGTTGTCCTCGTTCAAGTATACGGAATCGAAACCGAATGCCTGCGCCTCCTCCTTGGCATATCCGAGCGTAGTGTAACCAGGTTCAACAAGATGTTTTCGAGAACTGGTCATGTCTGCAACACCAAAAGGCGGGTCCGGCAGAAGAAATGGCCGCCGGAAGTGAACTCATGGGTCAGCGAGTACGCCATCGCGCATCCCTGCTTCTACATAGAGGAGCTCGAAGAGGCGCTGCGACTGCAGTTCCCGTCGCTCAACAACATCTCAGCGTCTACGATATGTAGAGCGCTCATGCATGATCTAGGTTTAACGCGAAAAGGTATAATTCAGCATATTTCTTGCATTAATTCTCAAGTAAATAGTCCTAGAGAAGCGTGCCCGCGAGGGTGCTGAGTTTGAACTTCGGGACTACTATCGGCGATTAAGCCCGTACTACTTGTACCCTGATCAACTGGTCTTTGTCGATGAGACATCGAAGGACGGCCGGGACTCAATCCGCAAGTACGCTTGGTCGAAGCGGAATCAAAAGGCGATTGTGGACTTGCCCTTTTCTCGTAGTCAACGAGTTTCCGCTCTGGCTGCATTTACGACTGCATGGTTTGTGTCTTGGGAATATGTCGATGGTATGATTGAAATTTATTTTGGTTTTTTGTTTGAGATAAATTCACATTAATAATTAATTAATGTAGGGACTTTTGACCGTGTGAATATTTCACGACGCCATGGTCCGGAAAGTTTTGCCGTATTTGAACCCTTGGCCATTGCCGCGCTCGATATTGATCGTGGACAACGCGAAAATTCACATGTACGAAGAACTTCAAGACGCAGTTCATGCCCGCATTATTGTTTTTTTTGCCGCCATATTCCCCGCAGTTGAATCCCATTGAAGTTGGTTTTAGCCTTCTGAAGGGCTGGATCGGAAAATATCCCATGGCATTCCGCTTCAACATTCGGTCAGTATTAGATGTAGCATTTGTGGAATGCACAAAACGAGATGAGCAGATAGGACTCAATTTGTACCGTCACTGCGGCTACAATTCCACAGATTTAGACAAAGATACATTTTTAATGGAATGATCTGAAATTATTCATTAATGTGATCGCTGTCGTCAACATTGACGCTGGGCACCGGAATATCTCCCACTACTGGCGCCCTAAATATTGGTGTCAAGTCGAACGGGGGAATTCACAGAATGCCACGCAGGACTTCCACCGAGAGAAAAATGTCCACAGGGGAGCTGGCCATCGTGCCAAGGCGCATACGCACCCTGCGGTACGTGTCGGTTGACTGGGAGATAGTTCACGGTGACGGGCGGCAGCGTGCTGGGCGAGCATGCTGTCAATGTGGCCAAGCTGGTCCATTGTTGCATTCGTCGGGATTTCGACGGGGGCAGTCACGGGCAAACAGGCAGCAACGACCCCCGTATAATCCGTTTGGAGCTGACCAAGCACGATGTTTTGGTCGCGAATATAATCCGCAACTCTGAGCGCTGACGTTGCAATGTTGCTTGAGGTTGCGCATCTTATCGCGGTGCTTGCCGCTTTTTCTAAATGCCACAAACATATTTTGGTTAATTGCATCCTTCAAATTCAACAATATTTGTTTTGATTTATAGGACGTTAATGTTGTGTTACCGATGTAGACAAACAGCAGCAGCTTGAATGATGCTTATGCATTTCGAATCTTGCTGGCTTTGTCCCATACTTGTTGGAGCAGATCCGAGTAGTTTTGCAGCGTCAGTTGGACGTGTTTATCCTGCGTTGTGTTTGCGGACACCTTTACGAAGATGCCGCTGGGGGTAGTTTGGGTAGCAGGGTCCCAAGAGAGCTTAATGTTCGTTGGGACAGCGTGGTGTTCGGCGACAGCAGTCGTGACGGCATCCGTCACAGACGCATGAAGTACGCCAAACGACGTACCAGTCGAGATGGTCAACTCGGTTGGCTTTCCGACACTAGTTCTGCTCTTGCCCAATGGCACGCCAACCTTGGTTGCCACTTGACACCGAAAGGAGTCCGGGAACTCGACGTTCACCTTGCATGTTGTTTTACGAATGGAGATTGTCGAATTTAACGTCATTACAAGTTTAGCACAGGTGCCAGATTGATGGATTGCGTTGAATAACGTTCTTCGCCCCGTGGTTTTATTCCTATCACCCCCTTGTATTATGAGCTAAAAGAACGGGCAAACTTCATGCAAAGCACAATATGTCAAACGCTCTGTTTGTCGCTTTGGCGGTCTAACGATTATGTCGTCGTACTTGTTGCCCTACATCTTGTGATAATATTACGTAATGCGTTCTTTCGCTGCTCGAACGATCACGAAGTCATTCTGGAGTTGTCGTAAATCATGTAAATGCAGTTGCGCAATACTATTATGACTCTTGTCAAACATTCTTGTTTGTCGCATCGCTCGTTGAGGGGTCTTGTAGTCGAACACGCCCTCGTTGTCGCATTGATGAATACAACGCACTGCTTTGGAACAACAGTACAAACCTCAATATATTATACCTTTCGCAATATAATAAACCTTTATCATTTAATTTTATGCTGTTCGTCGAAGCCCATCTTGATTTCGATATTTGCTTCAAGTATAAATATCGGCACATCAATGGTCGATAGTGTAAAGTGACATATTTGCGAAATTTATTTTGCCATCATGACACTGTTTATCTATCATTGTTGGGAGTAGGTAAAAGTGCTTGAAATAACCTTTCCAACAATGTACTACGTAGTATGTATCATAGGTATAACAGAAAAACTGATGGAAATAAACAAGAAACAAAATACAGGAAAATCGGCACATCAATGGTACTCGGTTCTATGTAACGTAAAGTGCCAGAACTTCTCGTCACAAATTTACCAAGCTCTTTTACGTGGTCATGTCGATGTGTTGAGGCGTAGTTGTTGTAGAATATTATGATCGCCATTACATCGAGAATATTTGGCTCCGCACTGCGTAGCCCTCGAGGATAATAACTCAGCAAGTTACCGGTAGACCTCTTGTTCACCATACTTCATGTAAAAAATAACGTGTGACCAACGAGGTTGCACTCCGCGGAATAAAAACGACATTTTGATAAAAAACGTAATCAAATTCGAGTGCGTTATACTATAAAACGTTGCAAACTGTAAAAACGTAATGAATCTCGATATTCATTTTCCTGTCGCACGTCCAATTTGGTTTTTGCGACATAATTCCATCACTTTTGACTATTATGAACTGAGACTAGTGCCAAAATGTGCAACCAATCATGACCAATGTTTTGGTGTGTCAACAATTTCGTATTTTCTCAAAACATATTCGTAAAAATAATGGATGTCATATATACATACATACGTACTAGTATACAGTAGTGCGTAAGCTAACTATTAATAGTACCGGTACTGTACGTCAATACTAGTATTGCCGAGGGCAGGAGCCAGCTATTTTCAGCGGGGGGGGTACTGTTAACCACTTGTCATTGAAGGTGCTGTTGGAGATTGCATACAGTATTGTTTTTTTGCTGTGGAAATCCTTCGTACCCCAAACTCGCCGGAGATTTTGTGTTTGTTGGCAACTGTACTGGACGTGTAAGTTAGTACAAAATTGCGTGGCACTCTGGAGCCCAAGGTAAACGATGTTTGTGAAGTGGAAGTATAGTACCGGTAGTCGCTGAGTCCGGTGAGAAGCTCGAATATCTTTGCGACACGGCAAAGTCAAGAACTTCATTAGGTCTGAGATGTACCGGTATTCCCGAGTGTGCCGCGGGCGCGGCCTAGGATGCCTTGTGCCGCCTTGAGGACATGCATAGACGCCACAGCGATTCCATATGATAGAAGTACCGGTATCAAGTCGCCCAGTTGGCTCCATTTGACTTTGAACCAGTTCCACCATTTAACGTTACCGGTAGTATCTCTTGGGCTAGCGAGCGCAGAACGTTAAGCTCACAAGCTAACTTTGTACTCCAGAGTATTCGGTTGGGTAAACCTACCGGTTCAATGAAGTCATGGCTTCCATCCATTTTACTGTAGTTAGCGTCAAATATTATGGTAACTGTTGCATCTCTCGCCACTTGGAATGCCCTGAGTGGCGCGGCATCCCTCCATCCACAACGTTACCACATGGCACTTTATGACAACCTACATGTCATTTCATACAGGGACGGAATACACAACATATTCACTTCAGGTTAAATGGGTTCGGCTTATACTTGCAATTTGCATTTGGCACTATGTACAGGTGCACATCAGTCTGTGGAGAATACAGCACCAAGGACGCGTGGACCAGCAATAGTGATCCTCCGATGCTCGTTTTTATTGCTAGGTCAGGGAATACTACTACTGTTAATCGTACGTCATAGTATCCTTCCATCATTGTCGTGTCGTCGGTCGTGACAATGATCATATCTACCTTCAACTTATTATGTTGTACTAGTATCTGCGACATGGAGTTCATGGCCTTGTGTCCTCTCTCGAACTCAACGTTGTATTCTTCATTTTCCGTCGTCAACTTCGCATCATGGCTGCTGCTAAACCGCTCACAGTACGAGATGACCGATCCTTGTACTGAAGGTTCATCATACCTGTCACATGTAGGCGTGGGAAGTCCATCAAGAAGTGTCCCTGCGCACAACGGCGTCCGGTATCGGGGCCGCCACGCCAAAAACCATCATCCAGGTGTTCCAAGGCACCGTCAAGCGCGTCCCCAACCACCCGGCGTACTACACCAAAGCCCCTGGTTCGTCCAGCTATACGTTTAAGACGTGGACGCAATACTACGCCGACTGCCGCGCGTTTGCAAAATCTCTGATCGCCCTCGGCCTCGCGCCTTTCCATGTGATCAACATCATCGGGTTCAACTCGATCGAATGGGTAACTGCCTGCATCGGCGCTATCCTCGGAGGCTGCATCCCCGCCGGGGTGTACACCACGAGCAACCCCGAAGCGTGCCATTTTATTGCCGAGCACTCAGAAGCGCATGTGGTTCTCTGCGACGGCGTGGCCCAGCTCGAGAAATACGTGGCCATAGCCCATAAACTGCCGGTTTTGAAAGCCCTCGTCGTGTACAACGACGTTGTGCCGAGCGACCTCAACTGCTCCGTGCCCGTGTTCACGTTTGCCGACTTTTTGGCGTCGGGGTCAGGAGTTGACGATACAGCTTTGGAGGCTCGGATGAACGCCCAGAAGCCCGGCAACTGCTGCACCCTCATCTACACGAGTGGGACCACGGGAAACCCCAAGGCCGTGATGCTGTCGCACGACAACTTGACGTGGACAGTCGAAGCGGTGTGTCAGAGCTACGAGGCGGCCGGATCGATTTTGAACCAACATAGCAACACCGTGTCGTACTTACCCTTGTCGCATGTCGCTGCGCAGCTATTCGACATCTATTTGCCCATTACGCGAGGCTTGGCCATCTACTTTGCCCAGCCGGATGCCCTCAAGGGCAGTTTGGGCACCACGTTAAAGGAAGCGCGGCCGACGTTGTTCTTTGCCGTCCCCCGAGTGTGGGAAAAGATGATGGAGAAGATGATTTCCATTGGCCGGGGCACCACTGGCCTGAAAAAGACACTCGTGACGTGGGCTAAAAGTGTCGGCGCAGCAAAAAACGAAGCCGCGCAGTTTGGCAAGGGCGGCGGCACCCCCTGTGGATATACGATCGCCCAGCGCCTGATTTTGTCCAAAGTTCGAGCAGCCCTCGGGTTTGATCGATGTGACACGATGTTTTCTGGTGCTGCGCCCATCAGCTTGGAAGCAGTCAAATTTTTTGCTGCCCTGGACATTCCAGTGTACGAACTGTTTGGTCAGAGCGAGTGCACTGGCCCGACAACGTTGTCCCTGGCGGGGGCGTGGAAAGTGAGCTCCGTAGGGATGCCCATGCAAGGCACACAGATGCAAGTGGTCGAAGACACACAAGAATTGATCTACCAGGGCCGCAACACCATGATGGGGTACCTCAAAGCCGAACAAATCACCAAAGACACGATCGATGCCGACGGGTGGCTGCACTCGGGGGACTGCGGCAAGCTGGACGAAGACAACTTTTGCTCCATCACGGGTCGCATCAAGGAGCTGATCATCACCGCAGGCGGGGAAAATATCCCCCCCGTGCTGCTGGAAGACGCGATCAAGGAAGAGATCCCATTGCTGTCGAACGCCATGGCCATCGGCGACCGGCGCAAGTTCCTCACGGCTGTGTTCACGCTCAAGGTGGTGGTAGATGCCGACGGCAACCCGAGCGACCAGCTGGACAGCACGGCGCTCGCCATTCTGACCGGCCTCGGATCCACGGCGACCACCGTGGGAGAGGCCAAGACCTGCCACAAGGTCAAGGCCTACGTGGAGACGAAGTTGAAAAAAGCCAACGGCCGCGCGGCGTCCCGGGCGCAGCACATTCAAAAGTATATCATTCTGGACAAGGACTTTAGCATTGGCGGCGACGAACTC